TCTCCTTTGAGGGTGCTGTGACGGTGCATCTGAATTTAGTTGATGGTGATAACATTAGTGTGTGCTTAGGCACTCACTACCTGTCTCCTGGTCGGTGTGATGGGGAACACAAGTGTGTGTGCAGTTCAGTTCAGGTAGCACAGTGGAGAGCAGGTTTGGCTGGCATTGTCCACTGTTTATTAATGACCAAGTGACCCAGTTGGGGACCCTGCAGCAGGTGTGGGTGTTGCTGTCTTTCTTCTTGGTAGACAAGAATGGTGTGTCCGGCTGTGTCTTGATGAAAAGCTGCTTATAGAAGTTCTTCCATGTCGCCAGTCTGTCTCTCTCATCGCTTTCAATCAGCTTCTTCTCCCAGTTGGTATTTAACTCACGTCTCTAGCCTTCCTCCGAAGCTCAGAAACTTGGGATCATCAACCACAGGTTCACCAGCTCTCTCCTGTCTTTGTGTAGAGGGTCTAGGTAGCATCTCTCTGGCTGGTCTGCAATCTTGCCTAAGTCTGCAGTGCAGAATTCCCGTCTCCTTGTTGCAGCACACATCTCTTCCTGCTGCCTGTAAGTTCCTCCTCAGACCCCAGGTATCATCTTCTCGCCTCATACCACTATAGCCAACATTCTTGAAAGAAGTATATTCTTTCACTCACTTCTATCTGGCTTTATATCCCCACTCCTCTGTCCTCACTTTATAAAAAATGGCCCATCCCAGACTAACAACTTTCTGATAAATCTGAGAGATACTTTTTACTCCTGACTTTTCTACTTCTTTCAACTCACCAGGTGAGTTGGAATGTTGCATGCCAATGGTCACTCAACATTCAGGATGGGAAGAGAGTTGCTCCTGGGTGTTTTCCCCTCTTTGGACCCACACAGCACTGACCCCACAACCTCCACTAGACTGCAAGGTCCACAGGGGCAGGAACTGTACTGCCTTCCTTACATTCTACACAAGGTAAAAACTACTCTCTAGTACCTACTCAATGGTTAATACAACAAAATTAAAATTAGCAAATAAAACTCTAACTAGGGTACCCAGCTTACCTTAGGCCCATAGAAGGCCCCATCTCCTGGGTTGAGCTCCCAGGGCTCCCCAAATTCTTCTAAGGCCTGTTGAAGGACCTATGAAAGTAATGAGTTAAGAGAGGAATGTGCCATCTTGGGCTTTATAAGCAATATATCCCTCTAGGCCCAACAAATACCCCTTTAGAATATGCCTCTGAGGAGCCTGGTTCCTGTCTCCCCACCCTCCCTACCAGAGAGCAGTTTCTCTGCCTCTACTTCCCTACCTCCTACTTACCTGCTCAGCCTGGTCCCACAGGCAAGACTCCCCTAGGAAATCCGCTGGCCGAGTGGACAGTGCCAGGCGGCAGGAGAACCCGAGGACAGCATAGACAGAGCGAACGAAATCAAGGCAGTCTCGGATCTCTGCTTCCAGCTGCAGGCAAGAAATAAGGGTGAATTGTGTGTCTGCTAGAGATTTGGGGTGATGGTAGTTCAGGAGAAACAGAGGACAAGCATAAAAAGGGAGCAGAAAACAGCTGAGGATAGAATAAAGCTGAAGCTCAAAACGAGAATGGAAAGTGGTTTTAAGGTGTTTTAGTGGAAGGTCACCTGGCAGACCACAGTTCACAAAGACCATGCTCGACATCCTCCGCTGGTAGGTAGCCATCTAATGTACAAACATTGGCCTCTCCCCATTCAGAATAAAGGGTAGCGATAGAAACCAAAAGACATATGGAAACAATTAGTCCGGTGAACTAATGGACCACATACGCATCAGTCTCCACAAGGAACTAGACGGTGCCTGGCTACCACTATCAACTGCTCCTCGGAATGTCCTGGATAGGGTGGGAGAAAAACCTGGCCTAGAACTCAGAATCCCAAAGGAGACTGGCCTTACTGACAGGAACCGAAGCCCGCCGCAAGTTTACGGCCCCTAGTCACCCTTCAGGTCTGGAACTGAACTAACTCTCTTGTTAGAATAACCAAACATTTACTGAAGGACAGAGCTCAGTGAGTTAGAAAAGGCGGAGGAAGGGAAACAGGAAACACAAGAACTAGGATAAGTGACGGTCCATTGAGATGGCAGGGAGTGAGGATGCATTGTTGGATGTAAGACTGGTAATCTGCTCTGTAAGCCTTCACCTAATAAAAAGGTTTTTAAAAATGCTCGTATGAAAACATAACCTGTGAAATCTGAAAGTCGAAAAGTTGAGCTTACTTTGTAAAGACTGTGCCTTGAACACAGTGCTTTCCACAAGAATATCTCACTCACCGTCACTGAGTTTCTTCTGGCTCATAGCAGCCCTACAGGGCAGGGTGAGAGCTGCCCGCTGAGGTTCTGAGATGGTTCATAGGAGTGGCCAGCCTCATTTTTCTCCTGTGGAGCAGCTGGTGGTTTCTAACTGCTGACTCTGAGGTTAGCAACCTAAGTAACCACTATGCCACCAGAACTCAAAGAATTATCTACATGGGATCAGACTGATAGCAGTAGCTGGAAAGGTCAGATGGAAACGTTTATGCTAGTGATGGGAAAATACTTAGGAAAAGAGAATAGCTATCCCATTTGAAGAATGTAATCGAAGTCACTGTAGACATGTTATACATGTAGAAATTGCTGAATTGATCAGTTTTCCTGTGTGTATTCTGAACCACAACAAAGTGAATGACTAGAGTCAGTCAGTCGAATGCTTGGATGGAGCATGGTGCCCACCTGCTCTGGGGCACAGAAGATGTGGGCGTCGTCCTGCTGGAAGCACCGCAGCCGAGTCAGTCCTCCCAGACTGCCTGAAGCCTCAGCCCGGTGCAGGGCCCCGAAGTCTGCCAGTCGCAGGGGCAGCTCTCGCCAGGATCTGGGCCGGTGGGCAAATATCAGGCTGAGGTTGAAGTGGGGGAAGGTCAGAACCACAGGGAGGCTGTGACCCCAAAGACATTTCCTCTGTCCCACCAGTAAACACCCTAGCCCAGCTCTGGCACGCCCACACACTGAGTCCTGTCACTGCCACTCATCGCAGCCTCTGTACGAGGGAATTTCTCAGGGACAACAACGGCCATTAATGTACCATCCCCTGATTCTGGGACAGGCCCTGAGCTGAAAGAATCCCACGACCGAAAATCCAAATCCTGATTTTACTAATGTGGCAACTGAGGCCTAGAGAGCGCAGTGCTTGTCCCGAGTTCCCAGAGCAGATTCAAGGCACAGGCCAACATTCTTTCCAAGACTCTTTCGTATCTCTTCATATTTAGCAACTCAGCTGTCTCCTCCTAACCTGGGAGGAACCTGGTCTCCTGGTTCCCAGCTCACCAGTGTGCAGGGCAGTTCATGGGCTTGAGGGCAAGTGTGGAGTGGGCTTGAGAGCTGGTGCAGTGGTCTCCCAAGGAGCTGGCAGGTCTGTCAGAACCAGGGGGCTTCAGGACAAACATGTCATCCCTATAATGCTCCCAGTGTCCTGACTGTTCCCATAGTTGCGTAGAAAACAGCGTGGGGGTTTTTACTTCTGAGAAACCCCGGTGGGCGTACTCAGCCTGCAAAAGAGGGTATAAACACGGAGGGTGGTCTGAGTGGCGGGGAGGAGGCAGAGTGGCAGTTGTCTGGTTATCCTGAAGCTTTCAGACATCGTGGATCACAGTCCCAACCTCCTAAGTTCCATGTTCCCTTTCTATGCCTCCGCACCCCTTCTGCAGATCGCACTTTGCTAGCATGCTGAGCGTCACCGGCACTTTGCAATGCATGTGTTCATGCTTCCATTCCCTTTACTGACTCGAACACTTTGCCTTCTTCTAGCACCCCCGTTCTGCTTGGTCTTCCCTCCCCAGCCCTCAGACTCCCCTTACCCTGATAAAATCCACCAGTGCGTTGTACACCCTTGTCCCTCGTGGCAGGAAGAAGCAGCTCCCAGGGCTCAGTTCATTGAAGAAGAAGAGCTGCTGTTCCTGGATGCAGGAATGTCAATCATCAGTTCAAGAGGGAAGGGGTGCTTTGGAAGCCAGAAGAAACACAAACCTGCTCAAGTCTGATTCTGTTATCTGCTCCCAACTTCACCCTTAGATTGCTTCCTCCTTCTGACCCTTATCATCATCCCTCCCTATTTTCTCAATCTCCGTACCTTCCCAATGCGCCGGTGGTCCCGCAACTCAGCTTCCTTCCTCCACTCTTCCCAGGCCTGCAGCCCCTCTGCTGTGGGGAAGGAGATCCCTGACACCCGCTGCAGAGTCTCTGGGGCCCCCGGAGACCTCCACAAGGATGAGGAGTTCTGAGGGAGGACACAGAGAATTCAGGGAAAGACAGCGCACGCCGAAGTCACCCAAACATCTCTGTAAGCAACAAGCAAAAACTCCAAGTGTCAGCAGCACAGGTACACTGCTTGACAACCACCCACCACGTTTCCCGCCGTCACCACCAGCAGGGCAGCGTCGCCCTCTTCTACACCCTCTTGCAGTGTTAATAGCCTGTCTTAGTCAGGCCTTTCTCTGACTGCTCATCTGTCCCCATACTACCACTGCCTACACTTAATTCTGTCCTCTTCTAACCAGTGGTGCTCAGGAGAGGGACTCATGTCAGTCCCTGTCAAATGCTGGGTCTACCCATCTCCTTATCAATCTCCGACATGGCTGCGCAAAGTTTGATCGCCCATACACAGACATTCAAACGCCTCCACTGGTTCTTCCAGACTCCTTTAACAATAATAGAGAAGCAGCCCACTCTTTATAGCACTTTAAACTTCTCCTCAGACAATTTCTCATGCACTAATTGGCTTTCATTGTCTCTATGATGTAGATTTACTAGAACAGGAATTAATAGAATTAACAGCCTCATTTTATAGTTGAAGAAAACGAGGAAGATTTCCTGAAGGCCCATTCCTCCACCGTGGTACAGCAGGGCTAAGCACACGTGACATGATTCTCAGTCCAGCGCTTTGTGCCTGTGGTGTAGTCGCTTACTTACTAGGGCACTTTTATTTATTTGTTTGGAGAATCCTTTCTCACAAAGGAACAAGGATGCAATGCTTTTCCTTAATGACCCATGGATGTCACTCTGCGTGAATGTGCGTTGTCTCTGATACCCAGCATGTGAGATATTGCCTGCATCCCATTCACACAGAGGCTTCTGGAAGAAGTCAGGACAAAGGTATCTTCATCAATATGCCTCAAAAAATGGATACTGAGGGTATTCAATGAAAATACCAAATGAAACATAGCGAAAATTTCTGTCTAGGTCATCCAGTACTTTCATGTCCTCTGAAGTCAACTGGAATTCAAAACCCTGTGTGTGCTCTTCGAGCCTCGGCTCACTGTGACTCTTGGCCAGGTCCACGATCCCCCGGTGGATCTAGTATCGAAGGGCAACTTGGGCTGGGTTCTTTCGTACTTTTTTGCCAAGGTACCAAGAACTGGATCATCTAAGAGAACAGGGGAGCTCTGGGCTACACATAGCTTCTACCGTTGGGTTCCCAGAACACCATAGGCAACCCAAACAGTCTCTTTAGACTTGCAGAAACCCAGCAGTTTGCTCTGGTTGATGTAAGGGTGACATTCTACCTGATTGCAGACAGGTTCGTATTTGAGCCCTGGCTTGTTCAGAATTATCTTTAGCTGCTTGTGGCTAAAGCTGGACTCGCCAATGGACTTGGTCAATTGTACATCCTTACACTTCTACAGGGCCTCCCATGTGGCACAGAGAGCCTCTGTACCAAATGCTAGTTTTCCATGTTCATCTTGTGGGAAAATCTCTCCAGGCTTTAGAGGCCCCGCCCAGGGAATCAGGTAGAGATCAACGAAGATAGCTGGAGTTTTTGCAGTGACTTCTCCAGAGCTGACGGCACCAATTCAGGTCGAAGAGCAGTGAACCAAAGCTTGCAAGTACAGAATGGTTCTTCACAATGCCATCAGCGGTCTTGTTTTGGATGGCTTGTCCAACTTCCTCTTGATTTCCCTATACATAAACTGAATCAAAATGATGAAATCTGGCATCAATAACTAATTTGGTTGCCTCCTCAGCTGTAGTCTTTTTTTTTTTTTTAAATCGTTTTATTAGGGGCTCATACAACTTTTATCACAACTCATACATACATCAGTTGAGTAAAGCACATTTGTACATTCATTGCCCTCATTCTCAAACCATTTGCTCTCCACTTAAGCCCCTGCATCAGCTCCTCTCAGCTGTAGTCTTCAGCACCAATTCTGATGCAGCTGTGCCAAATCCCAGGACAGGAATGAGGTGGCCATGTATACACCATTGTTTCAGATCCCTCTTTTGTCGCTGTTCTCACTAAGCACGGCCTGTGTTCTTCCCTCGGCTTTCCCCAGTCAATATGGCACTTTTACATCAGTCTTTGTAGCTCCCACCAACTGTCTATGAGGGACTATGTAAATGAAGTGCTTGTGGCTCACCAAGGGGATTGGATAGCTTGCTAATAATGCAAATAAGGTGTCTGGCACCCTTGCTGGGGTGGGACCATGCAAATATGGCTTATGGAAGTCTAACAATGAGGTTGGTCAGAGCGAAGTTCAAAGCAAAGGGGTGACCTCACAACCACCAAAAAAGGAAGCGCTCGTAAGTGGAGCATCCCCTTTGGGCTCAGGTATGCTGTGCTGGGAAATCCTTAGGACCTGGAGTCACAGGAAGAAAGAGAGCAGCAAGGGGAGAGAGCAAGTGATGGAGAGAAACAGCAGCGAAGAAACAGGCAGTAGAATCAGGAGAACGCAGGAGCTGGCACAGTGGGCTTCCTAGCGCATGGACTGAAACGGCCGAGACTCACAGGTGGAGTGGAGGGCCTTGACAGCCTGCTGACCCATGAAGCCGAGAGTTGAAACACTTACTCAAGAAGGCCCAAGAGGGCCCAGGGACAGAGGGCAAGAAGAAGCTGTCCTGATGAAGAACCGTATTCTAAGTTGTTCCTTTCATTTCTAAGGTGATCCCGATCCCGAGTTGCATCATGTAATTTCCCTAGTAAACTCCATCATCACAAGTACAGTCTGTGAGTTCTGTGTAGCCATCGCAATGAATCCTCGATCAGACCAGGAGAGAGTGCCCTGGATGGGATGCTTGGTGTCAGAATTGGTAAAAAAAGTTGAGAGGTGGAGGTAGGTCTGACATCTCACCCCATCAAGGAACCAGCCTTAGACTGTTGATTCTGATTCTCCTTCCCCCTTGTGAAGTGAAAGGCCAGCTGTCTCCCCGGCCATGCTGTTTTTCACAGTGCTGTACACATCTGCCTCTCCCCTCACTGCTGTTCCTAGCCCATGTCATTACTCATCTGTTCAAGGACAAGATTTTCAAATACGGTATACCCTTGACTTGGGGTAAGGACCTCTAGTTGTGCTGTAGGTTAAGCATCAGGCTGCTAATCGCAAGGCGTATGGTTCAAACCCACCAGCCATGTCCACGGAGAAAGACGAGGCTCCTGTGAACATCCACACTCCCAGAAACCGAAAGCAGCAGTTCTACTCCGTCCTACAGGGTCGCTACAAGTAGCAACAGACTTGATGGCAGTGAGTTGTGATTTCGGGTCTTCTCCCTGTGCCCGGCATGTGGTGTACCATACCTCACTCCTACCCCAGGACCCTTCCCCAAGTGTTCGTGCCTTCCCTCGCTCCCTCCCTCTCCCTTTGCACTGATGATCAGCTACAGGATTTAAACCGGCTTCTGGGGCCTGGCAAGGTGTTGAGGATCTGCTATCAATCTGGAGTTTCCAAGAGGCAGGAACTGATTTTCGTCCTCTTTTTAGATTTCCCCCCTTTAGCTATCAGTTAGAAAGGGGACTGGAAGGGCCATTTTCTCATTCCTTTGCTAACTCCAGTAAAAACGGGAGACTTGACCTGGCCCTGCCTTCCCAACTGACCGTTAGCAGTTTCAGTCCTCCAATCTGTCCAGTGTGCCGCAGGTGGGGGCCCCGGCAAAGATCAACCAACATGCCACACCTGGGAGCAAAAAGGGGGCAGTTAGTAGTTTCCAAAATCCCGAGCTTTGACTTTTCTCTGTCATGGCCCTTTGCCCCGAAGGAAGAGGGGAAGAGTAGTTGTTCTAATGGAATGAGAGCTTTCAGATGAAATCCTGTTGCCTCTTCTTTCTTTGGAAAGACATAGGTCACCTGCCTTCCTCTGCACCTGACGCCATTTGGGGCCTGTGCTGCCTCCCCAGCTCTCCCACTTCCCCAGTCTGGACAACTCTCACCCGTACACTGTTGCTGTTGGACCTGTCACTTTCTCTTCAATCAGATGAAGCTTAAAAGGGTTATCCTGCAAGAAGGGGAGAGTGAAGACAAGTCTTCATTTCCACATAGGTATCCTGGAAGACAGGCATCTCTTCCCTCATGCTTCTGGATCTTTCGTCTACATTTGTGCATGTCCATCTTACCTTGAAGAGCTGGTGAAGCTGATCCCGGGAAGCCTCTAGCCTCCGGAAGGGTAGAGCAGCAGCTGCAAGGTCCTGGCAAACCCTCTCCAAAACAGGCAGCTCTGAGCCCTGGACAGTTCTGGAAAGAGAAGAGTTGCTTGGCTGGCATCGTCCGAGCAGTATCATCTTGGTGACACTTTCGTGGCCTACAGGGTGGGAGTGAGAGTTTAGTCTTGCCTTTTATAAATTTCATTTTATCAACAAACTTACTGCTTAAAAAACAGACTCAGAAAATAGAAATAAAAAATCAGGGCGATTTTACAGCTGGAGAGAAAGCTCTAGGTTTGAAATTAAAAAGTTGCGTAAGAGTAATATGGCTGGGAAAATACAGCAATAACAATGAGGAGTAAAATTTGAGAAACTCACAAGGCTACGTTTTCAGGAGAGCTAGACAGACAAGAGGGCCATGAGCAACGGTGGCTCCAATGGCACAGCCATGGCATGGGGAGGAATTGCAACAGTGAGACGTGGACTGAGTTTCTAATACAGTATGTGACAAGCAGTGTCTACATTCAACACGTAGCTTTTAAGAACGTGAGCGAGGAGGGACACGGGGCACCCTGTTCAAGCGTGACTCAGGTCAAACCCTCACGGCCTCAGTTACTGCCCAGTTTTCTCCTCTAAACTGACCAGACATGAAGTCCCGGAACAGGCCTCCAAAGCACCACAGGATCACTGTACTTCCCTGCACCACTCACCGCTCCTTTCCCAGGAAGAAATCATGGTAGAAACCACCTTCTGTACTTGGACCTCGGCAGAGGACGGCGCCTAGGAGCTGTTCCGCTGCTGCCCCCAGGACATGAGTGCTGGAGTGCCAGAACACCTGGGCTCAAAAGGAAAGAGTTCATGAGTTCATGAGTTCACAGCCTTTCCCCTTGCTCTGTCTCCTTAAGAGAAGCTGGTATGGTTTGTCCAAAACAGCGACCACAAAAAGAACGTGGACTTTGGAGGTGGCTAGGAAATGGCACCATGTACAAAACTTGACTCACTAAAAAAGAACGCTCGTGTGATGTGATACATCTACACATACGGGTTTAGTCACCATACCTCGATGACATGCGCTCGCCATTGTCTGGATTCCAATACATGAGGCTGCATAACTCGAGCTGACACAAAGAGGACAAGGGAGGGAGGTGGACAGGCTGGGTGCTCCGGTATGGAAGCCACACTAGGGTTAAATGTACAACACAGTGACGTACCACGTGTGTACTCAGGAGTGAAGGGGGCTGAGTTGGCGACAGTAGGCCTCAACTTCTGTTTTTCAACTTATTATTCCTACTTATTGGATCCAGGCTGTTTATCTAAACATTTTCATTAAACGTTTTCAGCTTAGGCAGGAATAGGTAAGATAAGAACAATCTATCGGGTTCTACTCATCTTAAATAAGAGAAGGAAGGCAGTCAAAGGATCAGAAAAGAAAGTCATCTATAGGGCCCATTTTTAATTTTTTAATCGTTTTATTAGGGGCTCATACGACTCTCATCACAATCCATACATACATACAATTGTGTAAAGCACATTTGTACATTCATTGCCCTCGTCATTCTCAAAACATTTGCTCTCCATTTGGCATCAGGTCCTCATTTTTCCCCCTCCCTCCCCGCTCCCCCCTCCCTCATGAGCCCTTGATA